GCTTCCAAGAACCGATCGATCAAGTCCATCCTGAAGCAGCACGAGACCGCCAAGAAGAAGAAATATCACTCGGCCGTCTGCAACTCCCGCATGACCTTCTGCCCTCTGATGGTGACGTGTGACGGTGCGTGTGGACACGATGCCAACGTGTTCATCGCCCACATGGCTCATGCGCTGTTGGAGAAGGAAGGGTGGAAGGGTCGGGGGTTCAGTGATGTGTCTGGATGGATTCGCTCTCGCTTGTCTATCGCCCTCGAGCGTGCGACTAGCTACTGTCTGCGTGGGGGAGGGAGGGGAGGGTTTGCGGGACTGGGGTGTGCTGATGGGGCGGGGATCGATCCCTCCTCCCCGTGAGCGTTTGACTCGACGTGCTCATGGGACTGTATGTTTATGAGTATCACGGACACACAGACGAGTGTTACGGGTAATGCAAGTTTCCCAATATATCTGACTCAGTGGTCTTGTACAGCTCATGTCAAAACGCTATTCTCCTGTCTCTATACTTTCTATCGTGTCTCTTGTCTTCCTCTGCGGCAAACTGAGAGGATTTTGAGGAAACACACAAGATCTTACGGGCTTGAGTGAAACGTATCCGCAACCGTTTACAGTGCAGATGCATTCTGCCTTCATCGACGACACTCTGGTCCTTGTTCGTGACAACACAAGCCCCGTACGAGTCGATTTCATCCGTTTCCAAGCGGATGGCCGCATTAACTCTGGATCTACGACCATCAACCTTGATGGCGGTGCGGCGCGTATCTCGGCTTTGAGCGTGTGCAGGCTGTCATGCCCGTCAGCCAAGAGAGTCTTCCTTGCTCTTCAGCCCAGCAGCTCCCTGCTGTCGCTGTATCTCCTTCCTGCGGACGGCTCCTCGGCACCCATCGCCTTGCTTCGAGTTCGGCTGCGGCAGCTCACCTTCGAGAATGACAGCGACAGCGTCCACATTGTGGATGGTCCTCGATTGCTATGCCGCGTGAAGACTACAGAAGATGATGGGGAGGAGGAGCGTGGCGGAACGCTTCTCATCGAGTGTCCGGTTGGAAGAGATGGGTGCGTCGAGAAGGAGATCGGCAAGGATGACGCTCCATGGATCCAGCCGCAAGCAACCGTCCCACCTTCATTTGCCCCTGCTGCAGACCCTCCTCTATCCCTCAACTCGCTCTTCATCGGTCAGGTCGACGGCCATCCCGTCCTCATTCAGCAGACGAGGGACCGGCCGCAGTGGTCAGTGGCAACCGGAGAGGGCGTTGGAGGGGGGCAGCCGGGTGAGGTCCTCCGGAGCTTCTGGACGCATTGGAGTCAATGTCATTCGAGTGTGGGCGTCAATGTCATTCGAGTGTGGGTAACGGGTCGGACCTTGGGGCGGCAGGCCGATTCAGCCATGGTGCTGGTGCTGGCAGTGCTGGTCAACAGCGAAGAGGGGGGTGGCACCAGAGCCGCCGCCTGGTTTGCATCTGACGCGTCCCAGCTGCTCATGTTCTGCGTGACGAGCTTTGCCATCGTCCCCATCTTCCCTCCAGCGGATCTTGGCAGGCTGCACCGCCCACAGCTCACCACAGTCGACATCCAGTTCTCGCGCCCTGCGCTCTCCCCATCCTGTCTGTCGTGGTCGTGCTGTTTCACCGTCAAGAGCAGTGAGGGCTCCACCCAGCTGCTCGCTGTCGATTTCTCCCTCACATCGACCGGCTTGCGTCGCCTCCTGCCCTTCCACAGCCCAGCGATCGCCATGGAGGCGTCCACCAGAGCCGTCGACCACCACATCACCACTCCCTCCACACGTCCCCGCATGGACCTCCTTCCATCAACACCATCAGCCACGCGGATAGCCGTGTTTGTGCGTCGCCAGGTGGATGGAGTGGGCGACGTCAAGGGCGTCTGGTGGCGGGGCCGGGGAGCGGTCGGGCCATTTGAGGGCGAGAGCGGCTTCTTGACTGCGCTGACTGAGAAGGACGGAGGCATCCATGTGGTCAACATCGGTCAGGATGGCCTGCGGTGGCATCGCGTGAGGGAGGAAAGTGGGGATATGGGGGGACTGAATGATCCCACATCGCGGCCGTCGGGCGACCTCCCAGCTGGCGGGCTGCCTGAGAGCGTCATCGCGGCTGCCGAGGCATGTGTCAAGACTGCTCAGGAGGAGCAGGAGCGGCTGAAGAAGGTGGTCAAGATGCAGCGAGACCTGATACGCTCCATCGAGCGTCGACATGGCGTGGACAGCAGCAGTGATCCGCCTCCCCACTACCCATTTGATGAGCCCTCGCCTCTCGCTTACCTAGAGCGCATCGCCGGCCAGCCACTCGAGGGGCCCCAAGCTAGCATCGGCCCTCCCGATGATGCAGGTGATCCACTGGTGCCGCCGCTCACTGTTGGAGCCACCAGATGGGATGTCCATGGGGTGGGCGGCATAGATGTGTCCGTGTCGGTCTCTCTGCCAGCCGTTCAAGCAGAGGACGACATCGATAGCGAGGGGGAGACGCCACCGACGCTTCCTGCTGTCAATATCTGCCTCGCGAGTGGGATGCAGCGCACGGGGGCGGTGGATGGGGTGCGGACTGACAGCGCCGTGATCGCAAGATTGTGGAAGGGGGAGAGCGCGACGGTGTGCGGACGGATCACATTCGGTCACTGTGGGTGCGAGCAGCTGATGAACGGTGCCTCTGCTATCGCACAGACATCTGGTAGGACTGTTGCAATAAGGGGAGGGTTGGGAAGCCATGGTGACCATCCTTTCTGTCCCTTGTTGCTTTGTCAGGCGTGCTGTCTTTGGATTTGTTGGTCGTGTGGATGGTGCCTCTGTCGAATCGACAGATGCCTTTGTCGGACGTGCGTCGTGTGGGCGGCAAAATGGTCGATTGGGCCACGAAGGCCGCCAAGGTGCGGATTGACGTGCCACTGATCGACCTTTTGCGTCGACCGCTGCAGTCATCACTCCCATGCCGCTCGCTCCAGGTGACAACTACTGCACTGCAAACATGTACACGTGCCCCACTGACTTGTTATGTTATTTGTCAGCCTGTTGGCCTACGCTACTTCACGCATGAGTATCGGCTTCACTTGACATCGTCTGCACCGACATGGCCAAACCTCCCCAATTCGACCATCGCACAGGTGTGGCGAGAAAACACAACATATAGACATGGGACCTTGGTATTGTCGTTTGTTCCTTCCCCAGATGACGCATTTCCTGACGTGGTCCCTCAATTTCACCCTCGTGTCTCCGTACCGTTCCCCTTCCCTCCGCCGCCAGACACTTGTCCGCAGGCCGGCAGACGACCTACCGCCCTCGAAGCTCCTCTTCATTCCATCCCCCAGCTCACGACTAGACCTGGAGATCGAAGTCGACCTCTCAGCGCAGCCGGCCTCTTCTCTCCCTCTCACCGTGCGCACCAACGACCCATCGCCAGTCCACCTACTCGTCAGCGCCCTCTCGTCCTTCGTCAATGCAGCTGCCCCTTCCACCAGCCGGGCATCATCAGACGGCTGTGACGGCATCGGAGACGAGCAGCAGGGCAGTGAGGGCATGGCGACAGTCCAGCCGAGGTGCCAGATCGATGTGGTCAACGTGGGCGTCATCGAGGCCTTCAGGCTGTCCCTGGAGCGAGAGCTCGTGGAGTATCGACGGCTGGAAGACCTCTTCGCCAAGCAGCAGAGGGCGCCACCACCACGGGGGGAACGAAGTCACACGAGGGGGGCGAGGCTGGTGGGAAGAAGGGGAGCGCAGGCAAGCGACGTGGCGCGGCGGGCCATGGACTGCCTGACAGGTGTTCGCAGCCGGGCCGCTTCATTGAGGGTGGTGCGGGCTGAGACCGACAGGGCGCTTTCTTTGTTGCGAGGGGCATTCCACAAGGAATGAGGTCGTGAAGTGTGTCAGTTTGTTAGTAGCCGTGGGAACTGTTGGTGATTCCTCCCATGTGCAGTGGACCAGTTGAATTATTTGTTCATGCAGCCTGTGTTCCCCTCCTCTCAATCTGTCATGTCATGAATCAGAGCAACAAGAGCGATAAGTCAGTCAATAAAAATCGCACCACCCGACAGCACATCTTGACACTCCCCACTCTCTTAGCTTAAGCCACATACCCTCGGCCCTTTCCTTCAACCATAAACCCTACACGCGCGCCCCCCTACCATTTCCTCGATGAGTCAAACTACAAAAACCACTCTTGGCTACTCGCCTGCCTGAATGTCAGTGTTTGTGGTCGCAGCAATGCCCGTGTTCGTCGTGGTCATGTGTCAGCTGGTGACTGTAGTAATTGCTGGCGATCAGGTTGGCCGCACCGAAGACGCTGATCAGCTGATGCTTCGAATGGATCCACAGAGCGATAGACGCAGGAACGCCCACCAGGACGCTTGCAACATCAACGTGGGCTGCGAAGATGGCAGCCACGCCCAGAACGCCCCAGAGTGCCAGAGGGAACCGTTTGTGTTGCGCATAGTTGCTGCCGACGGCCATCGCACCGATCGGAACCATGACGTACAAGGCAAGCTGAAACGAATGCAGAACACGCGAGCGACGAGATGACGCGCACGTCCTCGTGTTGTGGGTCTGTCTGTCTGTACCTTGTGTGAGAGCGCGTGGAGGGCGGCGAACTTGTCAGGTGACGCCAGTCCAAGAATCGGCACGGTGGCCATGAAAGCAGGAAGCACGGTGCAGTCGAGGGCACACAAGATGGACGCCAAAGTCGCAAACTCAGACAGACCCCATCTGACAAATGCATGCATACGCACGAAGAACACACAATCAATAATCCACTTTCACCACATGCAGTCATTCGATGCCCACCTCCGTTTCTTCTTCACTGGCGTCTGTGCGATGGCCTGTGGCTGTGTGGTGGCCTCGGTCTCTGTGGTCTCGGTTTCTTGGCCTATCGAAAGTGCCTCTCGGGTAGCCCGAAGACGCGTAAGAGGGAGGCTGAAGGATCGACCACCAAACAGCCTTGAAAGACCGCGAGACAGTCTCTGCATACACATGACGGACTACAGTTTGTATAAAGCGAGAATTCGCCCCCTTTGTGGCGCCTTACCGGTGAGCGAGACAGAGGCCGTGTAAGGCTGCCGAACGGCTTTCCGTCAGATGGGAGGGACAGCGCGGCCATTCGTGTGGCATCCGGAGAGCTCTGTTCCCTCAGCATGGTCTCGTACTTCTCAACATTCCTCTCGAGAGCCGCCTGACGTGAATCAACATGAACATTTCTGGATGGTCTACCCCTGGGGGAAATGTATGCGTACCTGCGTGGCTTCCGTCCCCCCCATGCTCTCGATGAGCCACTCATTCAGCACGCGGTAGGCCTCAAGCAACTCGGGGTCCTGACACAGACACATCTTGGCGTACCCACGTGTGCCGCGTCTATGTGCCGTACCTCCTCTCCCAGGGTTTGCAGCGTTTGCACGAACTGAAACGTCTCTTCAGTGATGGCCTCGCCCTCCTCAAACTTCCCCTTCTGGATGTTGACGGAGTCGCGGAGACTCATGGGGTCGTTCGCATCGAGGTTGCCTACCCAGACAAGCACCCACACACACGAGAGCAACATGCAAACAAATGTGACAGTGTCCTCATCCCATCGGTCGCTCACTTGATGCAGCCGGCGGTCGCGACAGCGCCTGTATCAGCGGCTGAGCGTCAGGTCGGTTCTCGTTCTTGAGGACCCACTCATTCAGGTAAATGATAGCGCTCTGTATTTTCAGAGGAATTGTGCCGAAGTCTGCACGGATGGGCACGCACAATACATAAGACACACATGAAGACAGATACCGGCAAGGTAAAGTAAAGATGTGTTGGTCAGTCACTCACTGTCCAAGACACGGGCGCCCTTCGGTGCAATAGGAGGGCTCGGTGCTGCTTGCTCCCCCGGCTTGTCAACAGTAAGAGTGAAAGATGCGTCGTCATCGCTCACGGGAGGACCGTCAGACGATAGACGCGGTAGCCGAGAAGGCTTCAGTTGCCGTGGTAGACGCAGCGATGACCGCACTGCTGATGGGACGAAGGCTGCCTGAAGGCTTGTCGGCAGCAAGGCATCCTGGGCAGCAAGTGAGGGGTGGGCGATGATGAAAGAGGTCAGGAGGACCGCAGAGCATCGGAACTGGCACATGATGCGGCAAGATCAGCACATGAGGCAGGCGAGATCAGGAAACGAAATCAGTCGGAAATGCTGACACGTTGGGCGATCACAGCAGCTGCCTTCCTCTGTGCCAAGGAGCGTCTTTCTGCTCTGCGCTCGCAACAGGAACTGTTTCACGTTGTGCCCTACACACGCAGCGCATCTATCATCTCCATCTACAGCAAGGCAGCCGCAGCTGCGCAGGGCGTGTGGTCTGCACAATGAAGCTGGTCACCGTCGACCCGGCGCTCTTCGCATTCCTTTTGGTTGTCCCCGCGGCCCTTTGTTTCAATGCTCCACCGTCATCTTGGACACACGTGAGGGGGGTTGGCACACAACGGAAGGAAGGGGCGATCAGAGGCGCCCGCAGATCTGGGTCGATTGCACCATTCAGCTGATGAACACGCAGACAGATACACAATGGGAGAAGCCACGCGGGGTGCATATGCAGTGTGTGAGAGCTCGTGTGCTTGGTGTGCTTGCTGTGCTTGGTGTAGTCCTTTCGCAACGGCCTGACGAGGGCACACTACTACGCGCCACCACCGGCGAAGCGAGGTGGGAACGAACACTGGACTGGACGTGCACGAGACAACGCTGACCGATGTTGCTTGCTTCTCTGCATCCGATGGTTCTCAGGGTCGGGTCTTGCCGGTGACATTTTGCGAACGAGTGGCAGCCAATGGCCACCAAAGGGAGAGGGGGTGGATGATGAAACACCACAAGACATGAGAGTGAGATGACAAGAAACGGGACAGCTCACATCTATCTGGCTGCACGAATGCCTCTGCGCGCAGGACATTGAGGACATGACGGAAATGGTTGAAGAGAAGCTGCTCGGAGAGTGGGACTCAGGACGTAAGATCAGACACACCACACGCGCGCAGCCCAGCACAGCGTGACCTTCTCCCTTCTTGCAGCTGAAATCGAGACGGGCAAACTCTCGCCTGACGCCGAGGCCAAGGGGAAGAAGGCAACCAGAGTGGTACGCACACAGAACTGCCATCTGTGCTCGCGCATGCGTCGTCGATCTCTTCTTGACTCGCGATGGTTACCTCTCATTTCAGAAATTCCTGATCCCGACAGACGACTTCAACTACTACGAGCAGCTGGCCGTGCGCGGCCGACAGCAGCTCAAGACAGACTCTGCTGCCAAGGTGGTCGCCGAGATGAACCTCAAGGACGTGCCATCGGTAGGGGGATGATGGGAATGCCAATAGATGAACAGTCAATTTCAGTGATGCGTCCTCACTTGTATGTGTCGTGTCTGTCAGACTGACGAGGACCGTCAGTGGGCCGTCATGCTTGGTAAGGGACAGAAAGGACAGGCACACCGAGGCTCATTGCCCACCTGCCTTGCGCTTGGCTGCAGGTCCCGTCGGCAAGAACCCATCTGAGCTGCCCGATCCGGTGCAGGAGCCTAGCGAAGAAAAAAAGGAGCCCGACTACCTCTCAGACTACGTGGGAGACTGGGCGGACGAGGTAACACATATGCAAGCAGGCTGACACGAGGCGCCGAAATTTTCGGTTTCTGTTGTACTGCAGAGGGAGCGAAGTGAGGATTACGAGAAGATGGTCAAGTCTGGCGCATCCGAGGAGGGAACATCAAGCGACAAGGCCTCAGTGGAAGAAGGTGACACGCCAACAACGAAGGGAGAGAGTGTTTATCACATTGGTGTCGTTTCTTCCGCAGTCACCGGTGGCGTGTCTGAGGGCGCCGTCTTGAGCGCCACAATGGGCCAGCTCTCGTCCTACATCGCGTCCCTAGAGGCGCTTACTGCTGACAAGGCCGGTTTGGATGCAGCCATCAAGGAGGTCTTGACCGAGACGGACGCAAGCATAGGACTCAAGGACAAGATCGATGCCGCTGTGCCGCAACTGCTGACCAGTTTGAAGGCGATGGTGGGCAGCGCTGATCAGGACAGCACTGTGGACTCCTTCATCAACGAGAAGAAGTCATCCGCGGGCACCATCCAGGTATGTGGATGCAACGCTTGGAAATAGTATCGCCCCCACCCGGCTGTGCCTTGCCTTCCCATTGCCTCTGTTCAGAAAATGCTGTCGCTTCTCGAGGGCGCCCCTGAGGGCGTGCCGATCAGACCTGACGACATAGCAGTCGTCAACAGCATGGTGGGCAAGGACATGGACCCCAAGGTGGAGGAAGAGATCGAGGCCTCCATGGAGACAGACTTCCTGGCCACATACCTCAACATCCTGCCTGCTGGCGAGAGGGATGCTGCGCTCAGCAACGTGAGACCAGCACGTCACGCGGCCGTCTTGTCTCAAATCGTCTGTTTTGTTGCCGTTGTCTGCAGTACGAGAAGTGGGGGTTCATGCCAGCCGGCGTGAGTGCTGCAACGGTCAAGGGCAAGGCCGAGAAGGGCGACTTGGTGCTGGACAGCGGCAGGCTCAAGATGATGGGTGAGATCTACAAGGTGCTGGATCTCGTCGGCACACTGGGAGAGGCATCCGAGGACGAACTCAAGGCGAGGGGAGTCACACCACAGGTATGCAGCACACCGGTCAGTGTGCAGAGCGCTTCCGGTGATGCATCGACCATGCCTGCATCTCTGTCAGATCGCGAGCATCTTGAGGGCCCTTGGTGACTCAGAAAGGATTGAAGCAGATCAGCTTGAGTTTGGAGAGACGCAAATCGAGGTGAAAACCGCCGCATCACTGAGACATAGCGCTTTCTTGAACGCTGGCTTGTCCGTGTTCGCAGAAATCGGTGTTCTCTGAGGACTTCCTTGCGATGAAGATGTAGAACTTGGCGACAGTCATTGCAATGCATCTGATAGTGCTAGATAGAATGTGACACTGCTGTTAGGTTTTGAGATGCGCATTATTTTTGCGGCGCATGACAGACGGAACACAATGGTGCCTTGACAATTTCAATGCAACGACATGGCCTCCGTCCACGCTGACGAACGCAAAAATGGCGGGGCGCAGGTCCCTGTATGAGAAACTCTCCCATCACGATCCACCGTCGGCTACGAAGAGCGTTCGAGAATGAAACGAGCTCGCCAGAGATTTGCATTGGATGCTTAAGGTTTCGTCGATTTGCATTGAAAGCCACAGCTCCGTCTGTCCCCCCCCTCCCCCCCTTTCCGGCGTTACGACTCGCGGAAAGAAATAACATGCATACGTGCATTGGAGCTTTGAATGACATCGCGGTAACACGATGAAACCCTCCAGGAGAGAGAGTTGCAAAGAAGGCTTTGTGGGTTGGTCCAACGAGACACAGACCTATCGTATTTTTCCTCGCTGCACATTCAGCATCAAATCCACCTTCGATGGGAGGGGAACAAGACTGTGTGCTTTGTTGGGCTCAACAAATACGAGAAGAGAAGAAAAGGGCCTCTGCTAGACTTGTCCGTGAGACAAGTATGGGGGCCTGGGTATTCTCGAGCGGTTTTCTGACGTCGCAAGGGTGCATAAGGGGCCTCTCCTGGCTGTAATGGCGGCGGCAAGTAGCCTGCCCAGAGCAGGAATGCAAAGAGGCGAGAATGGGAGGCGGTAGCAGGATGTCTTTGGACTGTGAGCACCACGAGACACGAAGTGCAGAATTTTCCTCGCCATACATTGGCAATAAAATCCACCTTTGATGAGAGGAGAATACCACTATGCAGTTTGTTTGGCCGAACTTGGACGAGGCCGCAAGAAACAGGGCCGTCCTGGAAATGGCCGTTAAACGAGTACTGGACCTCGAGGTGTTCTAGAAGGTGGCTTTGTCTGACCGTCGTAAGGGTGCGAAAGAGGTCTTGTGAGAGGTCACGGAGATGCTGTCGTCTAAAACAGCAACTCGATGAGGCGCGAATGGAAGGCTGTACTGCGATGTCTTTGTGTGGACACCACAAGACGAATTGTTTCCATGGATGCATTTTCATGCGTTCATAGGAGACGCTTGATGAATGAATGAATGAATGACTGCACAATTTTCTTGGCAAGGAACAGGCACAAAATCCATGCTCGATGAGAGGGGAGAATCACTGTGCCAGTTGTTTGATCCCGAAATGCATGCGTTTTCAAGAGGTTGGAGGGACAAATTAATTTGTCATCAGGAGGCAAGCAGCGGGAATGGCTGCTAGAAAAAATACCATTTGTGCTGACGCTGCCGGACCGTGTGTCGTTTAGACACAAGGATAGAAATCCGGGCAACAAAACTGTGTGTGAATGCCTTGTGTGCAGAATGCGGGATAAGAACATGGAAACCAGACTTGTGGCCGCATGGAGAATCCCATCTGTACACTATGAAAAAACCTATTCGCTATGCGTCATAGCCAGTGTAGAGCAGTAGCTTCATCTCCCCTGCTTCTATCTTCCCTACCGGATCCACGCACACACTGAGATTAGCCCTGACCTTCGAATCCACATCGCTGTTCTCACTGCTCCCGGCCACCGCGCCATCAGAAACATGAAGGCCAATCACACTGCACAAGAGCACAATGACAGACTGACCACCATCTCCGTCCGTGTGCTCTGCTCCTGCTCACCGATAAATGAAGTACTTGTGGCGGATTTGCTGCGCAAGTCGCAGCTCGTTCAGGGTCAGATAGACGACTGCTGAGTCGTCAGTGAGACTGCTCTTGACCTCAATGATGTCGGCGTCGCGCTGAGAGCAGAACAAACAAACAAACAGACAAACAGACAAACAGACAAACAAACAAACAAACAAACTCATGAGCACACGTTCATGTAGTTGTCCCCTTTCCCTTGCTCACCAACACATCTTCCGTCAGGTCACCAGGCGAGTGAATCGGCACACGCGCACGGACAATGTCGTATGGTAGACCCCTCTCGCTGTCTTCATTCACCCATACGATTCTCTTAGGATCGCCGCCTTTAGCCGTCTCTTCGAGCCTCAAGTGCTCACAAACAATTCCCTCTCCTATCCGCCCCACGCGCATCATCTCCTCAAGCAACTCATCCGTCAGCCTGATAGCCTTCTCTTCGGGTACTCCATCTCCTCTTGCTGATCCCTTTTGACGCCTCTCTCTTGGGTGAAGGAACGAGCGAATGCGAGGAAGACCCCCATGGCTGTGCGCAGTATCTGCTGCGACGTGGTGCAAGGGAAGGAAGCCAGCCACGGCATTGGCGTCCATCAAGATGACCACGGGCTGAGCTCCTTGCTGAACAGCTGCGACGTCATCCTCTTTGTTCTCGTCTTCTTGGCTGCTCTCTGGAGGCACCGCAGGGCGTGGCTCGGGTGTCGCGGGGAGGGATGCCGATTGCGGCAGTTCCACTTGAAGCGACTGAGTTGGCTCGTTTGCGCTGCGCCTCTGCGATTGCTCGGCTTCCATCTTTTCCTTGTCCAAGAAGTGCTCCTCTTGGACAGAGCTAAGAAGGGACCGGTCAGGATCGGCAGGGGGCCGCTCAGGATCGACAGGACGATAGCCACCATCCACCAGCCCGCCATCATGCGTTGCTCCTTTGTCAGGGTGCGGTCGCCCCCTATTCTCACTGTTGTCTTCGTGCACGTGACCTCGTGAATGGGCATCGCCGTGAGAAGCACCCGCCTCGCCATAATGAGTACGCGTGCCAGAGAAGTCTGAACGAAATGGGCAGAGGCGGCACCTGGCGACGTCTTTTCTCCCTGGTTCCTTGTTTTGGTTACACTTACCAACTCCTGCGGCAATGGCCATTCCGTAGATCGTTTCAGACATCTCCTCGCCCTCCTTGCGCTCACTCCCCCCGATTGCTTCCCTCTCCCCGAAGCCAGGGGGCAAGGGTGGCCAGACTTCCTTCTTCCTGCCCTCAGTCTTCTTCGCTGGTGCTGCAAAGGGATCGAAGTCATCAGGCAGCTCCTCGGACGCCGCGTCAAGCGCTTGGGATGGCTGTTTGACGTGAACCGAGTGGTCGGCTTGTTCAGTGGTGGCTTGATCCAAGGCGGCGACAGCGACATCCTGTGCCGTCTCTGCTGGCTGCGCGGCCATTCCTTCGGTGTCTTCTTCTGGTCGATGCGTTTCCAGGTGCGCAGCAAGAAGCGAAGCATACGCGGAGAGGGCAGGGGGAACATGCGTTGGGCTCGGGCCAGGAGGAAGGGCGAACCATTCGCTCTCACAGTCAGCCTGAAAACAAAAGTTGTGCACAATATAAGCACAGGTGATGGCTCGATAGGTGCGAACTTACGTGCCTGGGCAGTGGTAAAGGCGCAGCCCTTTTCTCGATGCCCGAGTTGATCTGTGCAGTTAAAATCTGCAGCTGCTGCTTCCACGTGGTGACATCCCACTCGGCTCCCTCGCCACTGAGGACACGAGCGACAGCCGCGGCGTGCTCGACTCCCACATCGCCGAAGGTTCCTAGTACCCAACCTTCCAGCTGTATGCACAGCGGGGGCACCACGTAGCCAACGAGGAACTCTTGCAAGTCACGCAAGCTCCCCTGGCGCTGTCCCTCAGACGCCTTCTCGAGCTTGTCGACGACCATTGCCACAGCCGCCAGTGCGACGTACTCAACGCAAGGGGCTATCTGTTTGCCGCCGCCTGTGGTGTGCATGAGGGACTGGTCCCATTCGCCTGGCACCCGAACGAGAAAGCAGCAGGTGTCTGGATTGAGCGACGAGTGGGCATCCCATGATGCCAACACAGTATCCTCGATGACAAGAGTTGTCGCCACTCGTAGTTGGAAGGTCACCCGACAGGCAGAGAACGTCTCAGAGGGGTCAACGTCGTCTTCGCTGGCTGTCATCTCGCGTCGAAGGACTCCACAGTTGACAAGATGCAGTCGCAACCGTTCCATTGCCGTTTGAGGATCGCCAAATAACCTCGCAAGGATCGTTGTCTGTCCGCGCAGCCATCGCTCCGCCCAGTAGAGCAGGAAGCCGACCGCATGTTGCCCTAGAAGTTCTGTCACATCGACCGGGGAGAGCGGGGAAATCGGCACGTCACTTGCTGAGCCGGTCTCGTCCAAGAATCGGTCCAGCCGCATGTACGACAGCCGCGTTGCCAAGTCGTCGCATTCGACATCCGTTCGGGCGGCATCCGATAGGCACGGCACGTGAAGGGCCCCCAACAAAGGCCACAATGAAGGGTCGCATCGATCCCCATATCCGGATGGCTGGCCGCCCCCAACAAGCACTATCGGCTTCTCGTTTGTTGTCTCCTGTGGGAGCCGCATTGCGGTGAGAGCGAAGCGCGGATCGAGTGTCGCGTGTTGGGGAATGATGTCGTCGACGAAGGGTCTGCACGTCTGCAAATCGAAGTAGTGGCACATGCGCGTCTGCGGGTTCACCAAAGCAGATGGCCAGATCCTGCAGAGCGGAAGACACGACCTGTGATCTAGCAGGGACGTATCCAGAGTATTCTTGCCTGCACGAGCGTAGCTTTTGTGCCAATTTGGCTTCCTCCTGCAGCAGAAGCTCCTCGTTTGCAATCCTCCTGGCCAGATCTCTCAGATGACTGCGCGTGCACAGCAGACGGACAGTACTGATGGATGTTTGACACTGATGCCGGCATCCTTCCTACCCTAGGAGCATCTCGTGGGCCTTGGTGGTGTCCAACAGAATTGGTGCTTCCTTGTGCCAATGAAATGTCGAAATACTGTGCGGCTTGGTGCGAAGCTGGTATGCGGTCTTCAGGAGCCCTTCCAACAGCTCAGGCAGTGCAGAGATGGCATGAGTCGTCGACACACCTGCAGGATAAGACAAGACTTCATTCTATGTGGCACAGCTCATTTGCTCGAAGTGCCCTTGGCTAACCAGCTTTGGCATGGAAGAAATCTTTAAGCTCGATGTCGTACGTCACATCTAAGAACCGATAGGTCGAGCTGACGAACTCCCAAAGCTGCGCCCTTCCAGATCGCAGGAAGACCTCATCAGACGACTTCCACTCCCCATC